TCGTTTGGTGGAGGCAAGGGGGGTGGGGGTGGTTGCTGTATTTGTTGCTGCTGTTGTTCCTGGCGGCAGTGCGGATGCTGCGGCTGCGACTGCCGTGTCCGTCCGGCGTGGCCCAGTGCCTGCCCCACGCTCTCTCCCTCCGTCCCGGCCTCGAGTGGCAACGTGCTCTGCAGAAAAGCAGACGGGCTGTGCACCATGCCGAGAACCAGCTTGGGCACCTCCTTGTTGCTGCCGTTGTGGGCGGGGTGCAGGTATTGGACCGGATGGCCGGAGACGTGGTGCTGCTGCTGGAGCGCACCCTGCGTCGGGGGGGGGGGCTGCGGTAGCTGCTGTAAGACGGGGCCACTCGAGGCACCCGGTTTCCAGTTATTTGCATGGCCCAGGCCGAGGCCTAAGTACGGAGAGGAGGCAAAAGGCATGTTCATGCTCGGCGAGTCGTTCAATCCGAAGGCAGCTGCCAAATTCTGTTGGAAGGGAAACAGAAAAAGTCGAAAGACATGGTAAGGAAACCACAACGAAGGCCGGAACACAGCCATGTGGGGCGGGAAAAATTAAACATGACACACTCAGACGTAGTACCCTTCCTATCTGCCGAGCACACCGAAGAGCGACCCAAGAAAGAGACCCTGATATCGTTCTCCCCCCGAAAACATATTTCTCCTCATGCGCTATCATATGCCAGCAAACCCACGCACTAACCGGTGAGGGAAGCCACGATGGTATGCTCCCGTTCGATATTTCCACTTTCCCACACCCCTCCTTCGTGCCGGGGTAAGATATAGCAGTGTTAGAAGTCATAGCATGTCCGATTATGGCTACAGTTATTTGGGTCCCCGTGCGTTGCTCCTATATCCACCGAAACAGCGTTATCCCGCTCACAAGTCAGAGCTCAGACGTGTCTGTACATGTCATGATGAAATGATGTCGGGCTGAACTGAGTGCACGCGGGGGACATGCCATGGACAAGTTCAGGCGTGACTCTCTGTGTCACTTTGCCCTTCGGATGAAGCAACGTGCATACTTAGGAATGTGACGCCCGCCCGAAATCTTGAAACTCCCGGCAGGCGCAACCACACATAGTACGCTGCACACGAGACTAGGGCTTCGTGCACGGTACACGTGAAGAAAGGTACACCCAAGGCTCTCATTACCGTGGTTGCCAGGGCCAATACGGCGGGAGGCGGGCAGCCTGAAATTGTTTTCTCGATCATGTACTCTTCGAACGCCGAGACGCCACCACCTTGCCACCACCAGTGAAAACCATGCACACCGACCCCCGGCACCCCCCCCACCACGGACATCCCAACAAAGCAAAACGTGACGCCCAGCTCATCGTATCCCGGGGCGCCTCGGTGGGAAGTGACGTGCTTGAAGACATTAATTAGTGTCCCGGGCAAGGACTCGCGTTTTCGCCCCTAGCAGCCATCGTGACGCGATTTCGTTGAAATATTCAGGCGGCCGTCCGCACTTTTGTCCCATCAATCCCCGGTCCTTATTCGTCGATGACTGACCAGGACATACACGCACGATAGGGGCCCCGGTGCACGGTCGTGACGGAAAGCCGTGGGTTTGTGTTTGGTTGACTTCAGACCTATCGTTGCTGCATGGCAAAGGTAAGGCATCGCCTCCTCCATTATACTCAACCCCGTAGTTATGTTCCGCAAGCTTGGTCTTCCCGTCCTTGTCTACGCACGTAGTGCCAAAAATATCTAACTTATCCCTTTCCCTGGCCAACATACTAGCCAAAAAATCTGTTCATAAAGCTAATGTCTGCGGCCGGCACCGGGTAAGTCACGCAGCAAGAAAGCGTTCAGATCGACAGGAAGACCGACGAGCACGCACACTTGGGTTATCAACTACCTTCCCATCGCATGTCACATCTTCACAGCTTCTTCTATGTCACGCGCAAAAATCCTAAAAATGTGACAAGGAAACTCGCGCTAAGGAAGGTAGGCAACATGAGATATTGATGGCATGTCTGGAGCCTGACACGAGAAGGGTGGTTGGGGATTTATATAGCGTGAGGTGGGTGCGTGAAGGCAAAGCTGTGTTAAGGAGTTTGCGAGATAAGGTTGAGTGAATTTTTACGCATTTATCTGAAATCATCGTCCTTTTCCCTTGTCTTTTACTGCTTTCCTTCCCGAATGTTGCCCGTCAGTACGACCCAGTTGTCCGAAAGCACGTGCTTTTCACCGAGACAAAGCTGAGGTAGCGGGTGCGGCATTGGCTTCATTTTGTCGTTGTAAAGTGTATGGCGAAGAATTAAAGGCATGGGTAACGTGCCGTCTCTGAATTTATGACTACTGCCTTGCAGGAGTGCATTCATCCTCTCTTGTTCTTTGCATTTCTGTTCGAGGATTGAAAAAACCACGTTCCAAGTCTTATCATTTCAAATACTAAAGATTGAGGATGGGCGCGAGCAACTTTAATCCCTCGAGTTCTTTGTTTGACATGTACGGCTCCCTCATAAGAGCTTAGAGCTCTGTTATATCGCTACTACATTTTAGAAATTACGCGGACAAGGGTGCACCTTCAATCCTACGAATAGCTCAAGCGCGAAACATTGTCGGCCTTGTGATCGACACCCTTATTTATATTCTCTATTGTTCTCATTGTAAAGACTCTGAACCAGATTGTGCGGTGAAGTTGTTACCTCTTCATGTCCACTCCGGCAACTTCATAGCACGCCAGCGCACCCCTCTACCTGTGTTGCTGCAACATATCCACAGCTTGCCTTAACTATGAATGTCCTTTGCCATTCAAGGTGCTGTCCCATGGGTGTATGTTTCAAGACTTGTTTTTGCGGCCTTTTTTTCTCCCTCGTCCCTGGGGAGTTTTTCTCACGGCTTTGAAAAGTCAACTTTCCGTTATACTTATTTGAGGTAAAATTGAGGACAAAACTAATTTCATGTGTTGCCTAGAATAGAAAATTTCATACGAGCAGGTCGCAATCGTGGTTAACAAGATTCTTGGGGGGGGAATAAGGAGAAGGGGGGATGCAAACAAGGTGTCACATAGTTATGGGGTGGGGAGGTTTTCCTTTGATCGATCTTTACATACACTTCTGCGGTAAATCTGCGACTTCGATGAAAGGTTAGCAATCTCCTTACATTTGGTGACTGAATGTCTGCAGTCGGATGGATCTGCATGCAAATGCTAACTATACTTCTTTCGCTTCCTAAAACAGGATACTCTCGTAGGCTCCTTTCCCCCCGGTCACTCCACCATGTGGGCACTTAAGCTGTCCCGTCCTTTCATGGAGTGTCACACGCGACATCTAAAGCCAAATTTGCTTGCAAACGGATACGGGCTCTGGGCGCGGGAGGGAGGTTCGTTCTTGGTTATAGGTTGAAAGTCTTGCCTCCGAGACCCTACATCTCTCTTCACCGTTGTACTTAAATCCTCCTTCCTTCTGTTCGTGGCTACCGGTTGAAAGCGTACATCGTCTTCACCCTTAGTTAGGACTCTTTTCGTTCAAGTCATGCGTTGGATTGTTCATGTGTTGCGTATACCTCCTAGCTCCTCACGACTCCATTCCAACTCATTTTTGAATTTACAACCGCGTCCAGGCATGCGCTCTTTTCAAGGCGTGGCCAGTCTGCAAGGGAAAAACTTTATGAACATCGACGAACTCACGGACGTCGAGCTCCGGGACCTCCTTTCCCTTTCTGCTCAATTGAAGAAAGCCTATTCCTCGCCCAGTCCTTCCGTCCTTCCTCGGCCGTGCGAGGGAAAAAGCGTCAGTATGATTTTCCAAAAACGCAGTACGCGTACACGCGTATCGACCGAGACAGGCATGGCTCTTCTGGGTGGCCACGCCTTGTTTCTGGGTCCACAAGATGTACAGTTGGGCGTAAACGAGAGTATGCGGGACACGGCGAATGTGCTTTCCCGCTTCAATTCCCTTATCCTCGCCCGAGTGTTCGCCCACACGGACGTCCAGCTCCTCGCGAAACATTCCAGCGTCCCCATCATCAATGCCTTGTCCGATCTTTACCACCCTTTGCAGGCCCTGGCCGATCTCCTGACCCTGGAGGAGCATTTTGGGAAGGGGAGTTTACAGGGGAAAGTTCTGACATGGGTAGGTGACGGGAACAACGTCCTGCACGATCTGGCCATGGGCGCAGCTCGTCTGGGTATGCACGTGCGGGTAGCCTGTCCCGTCGGCTACGAGCCCAACGGCGAAATTATGCACCGGGTGGAGTGGCACGCCCAGCGGTCGGGGGGGTCGTATGTGATGGAAAGAGACCCGATGACGGCCGTCGCGGGCGCGCACGTGATCGTGACGGACACCTGGGTGAGCATGGGCCAAGAGGAGGAATACGAGAGGCGGATGCGGGATTTTGAGGGCTTTCAGGTGACGAGACGCATGATGGAGCATGGGGCCAAGGGGTCAAATGCCGGGCGGCCGGCCTGCGTGTTCTTGCACTGCCTGCCCCGCCATCCCGAGGAGGTGACGGACGAGGTCTTTTACGACCCCGCACGGAGTTTGGTGTTCCCAGAGGCGGAAAACCGGATGTGGACGGTCATGGCCGTCATGCTTTCGTTGGTGGGGGGGG